ATGAGATGAGACTCACACATACAATTCAACTCGAGTCTTCACCGACTCCCATAATATATGCAATATGATGCGTATGAATCCGAGTCTTCCAAGCCCTGCCATTGATGTTAAACATCCAATGACCATTTATAAATCTCATGTCTTTCTTAGGGTGTGTATTTATGGACTTACACCAATGGACACCCAACTGACACGGCATTTACAAACTTCCACCAACGGCTCTACATACGCTAACACACTTTATGGACTTGATACCAACAAAGTGTGTATCCCAACTCACTAGGTCTTGCACCCGAGGGACAATCTAGCCCTTCTTGCTAACTCCAACCCTATTTTCAATGGAAACTGTATGACTTAGTTGAATTATGGTCCCATTTTTCTGAGCTCACATATCATCCGCTAAGAGTGGTGTTTGATTCGTAAACATACACACACACCTACACTCATGTCACATGCCCACGAATGCGATGTTTTCCATTCAAATGCAAATGTGATGTACATTGCATTTCCAATATCAAGTTCAATATGTCATGATGAGCACAATATGAAAAAACTTAAATATCCATCAACCTTTTTTCATGGTCAATTACATCATAAGCATATAACCACCATCAATGACCTCAATGTTAGTGTATTATAATGCATAAACCAACATCAATTCCCAAGCATGTTATAATGAAATCAATGTAAATAACACACTTAATCCACATAGGCATTTCATTAAACACCTTTAAGGCACAAAATCATGTAACACATAATATACCCAAACCATCACATTTCTAAAGAAATCATAAACAAGAAATTTCAACAAACTCAATCCATGCAAGAATTGATTTTAACCATTCTTATACCCATTTTCTACATTTCAATCACCCTAGGTATGTGTCATATATGAGATTATATCTCTAAAACCCTACCCATTATATATTTCAACCCTAGGTTGTAAATAAATCTAATTAGGAAAGGAACACTACCTCTTGAAGGGTAAAGCAAGTGGTAGAAAAACTCCCAAAACCAAAATCAAGCTCTAACCCTTGATTTCCAAAATCCCATCTTTTGAACTTTGTCAAAATCTATGTATTTTGGTACGTAGGCATTGCCCTCGTCACGTAGATGAACTTTGGATCTTGGCCCAAATCGATTCGACCAAGGGTTTGCTCTAGATCATAGAGAGATGATGAAGAAAATCCTTGATTTTTCTCTCCTCTCCTCTCCCTTTTTCATAAAATATGATGGATAATGGGGAGAAAATTTGATTTTCCTCCCGTATTTATACCCCTTAGATACTCTCCCTCGTTGTGGCCCACATCATTCTTTCCCAAGTTCAATTTCATTCTGAATTAATTAAATCTTGCCTCAATTCAAGTTCAGTATATTTTTATTTTAACTTACTTTGAATTATATTCTATTTTTTGCAATTTAATTCCTGGTCGCGATTATTTTGGTCATGCGACACTCAATCGCCTTACAAAATGCGAAAAATTCAATTGTCTTGAAATTCAATAAAAATTGATTGGGTAACTAGATTTCGCGAGAAAAATCTAACGGTGAGGTCCATTTCATCATCTGAGTTCTAGAAAAATTTGAGTTTTCAACCTGTACTACAATGGCTAATTACCATTTTGCCCTTTTCATAAAAATTCAAATTTACCCGGTTTTACATCGAAAATTCACAAGAGGTAGTGTTATTATAATATCACCCTAAGGTTGAGAAACCCAATTTTATTATAAGACAGACATTGAGGCCAGCAACAATTAAGTCGAATATAATCGGCTTAGAAGTACATATAAGATTAGGGGCACCCTCTATAGAGATTACAGGCGACTCTCAATTAGTTATTAATTAGCTTGTAGGTAGTTTTCAATGCAAGTGTTGGGAGTTGTGCCCATTACACTCAATTGCAATTTCCTTGTTGTCAAACTTTGATGGTGTCACATTGCGCCCAGTTCCAAGAGGGCTAAATGTCCAAGTACACGATTTGGCACAATTGAGATCTGGAATAAGGATTCTGCATAGCCTTGATGAGTAGCTAATTAAGGTTCAACGAAGGGTATAGCCAACAATTAAGACTAGAGGCATGTACTTTGAGGAGCTGGTCATCGAAGTTGAAGAACAAGATTGGAGGCATGGAATTGTAAAATTCCTTAAGAATCTTAGCAAAAATTTCAAGCAATCCACAAAAAGAAAAGTCACTAACTACATAATCATGGATGTAGAGGTTTACAAGAAAGGAGTGCATGATGACTTGCTTCTAAGGTGCACTGGGAAAGAAAAGGTCATGCTAGTAATGGTCAAAGACCACAAAGGTATATACGGAGCTCATCAAACTTGCATAAAAATATGATGGCTAATAAGAAGATATGACTACGATTAGTCGAGTATCCTAAAGGATTACATAGAATATGCAAAAGGCTGTTAGGCATTCCAGCATCATGGTCCTATTCAAAGGGCGCCAGTAGCTGAAATGCACCTGGTGACAAAGTCTTGGTCATTCCGAGCATTGCTCATGGACTTAATTGAAAAAATATTTCTGCCATCTACAAAGCAACATTCCTTAATCATTTTTATAACTAGTTATTCCTTAATTAGACCAGCGTGATAGAAATGATTAAGGAAAGCATTGTGCACCATTTTGGTCTTCCTAACATATAATGGCTGATCAAGACACGGTCTTTGTGGGAAGTGAAGTCAAAAGGTTTGCAGAAGAGTATGAATTTAGTATCATCCATTCAACACCATATTACGCACAAGGAAATAGTCAGATGGAATTTACCAACAAAATCATGAAGAGGGACAATTGCCAAAATGGTGGAAGACAATCCAAGATGCTGACATGAAAGACTATCCAAACTATTATGATTTATGGGCTTATATGACATCTAAACGGCCAAGTAATGGGATCACACTATCCAAATAAACTTACGAACACAACGCGGTCTTACCCATGAAAATGACCGTGAAGTCTTTAAGAGTTATTTTTTGACACAACTTGAGTCCTACCAAGTACAATGGGGCCATGCTCATGGAACTTGAAGAACTTGACGAAGCTAGGTTAGGCGCACTAGATTGCCTTAAGGTCCAAAACCTCAGGGCTTCTTAAGTGTACAACAAAAGAGTCAAGGAGAAACTATTCGTGGTTGGGGACTTAGTGTGGAAATCCAATTTGCCTTTGGGAGCTAATGACCTTAAGTTTGGTAAATGGTCTGTTAATTCAAAGGGAACGTTTGAAGTTCATGAAGTAAATAAAATTGGTATTTACCATTAAAAAATTTTAAGTGGTGAAATGCATCATTGCTCTATTAATAGGAAATTTCTACAAGCCTATCGACCAATAGTCTAGGAAGCTGTAGAGTGTGCAGAAAGCTGAAAAAAAGTGTATAGTGTTATCAGTGGTCCAGAAAGGCCGACGATAGTGAAGTTAGATGACTGAGTTTGATGGTTTTGTACATAAGTTGGAACAAAAACTAAATGCGATGAGTAGTCAAAAAGAAATTTCATTTTTATTCATAAAGTTCCAATAAACTTCAATGGTTATAACATGTGGATAAATTAAAGCAATGATATGGTATGGCATGAAATAGACTGAAGGCGGAAAGCCACTAGCTTTTGGATGATAACTTGATTGCTAAAGCAAATAAAGGAGCAGAAAGAGGGATGTGTTCCACCCATGCAACCGATAACTTCAAAAAGGAGTATGATAAGGTCACTTCCCTTATCATAACGATTAGCCGCCGCTAAGGGAACTCATGTAAGTGGATCATTAGAGGCATGTGAAACCAAATGCAAAGCCTACTCTAGATTTTTCTAGATTAGGCATATGTCGATTGTTCAATAGTACCTCCATCATATTATGTGGGCCCTACAATATGGCCAAAAGGTGTTTGTAAAAAGAACTCTGAATGATAAGGAAGAAGGTAAAAGAAACAAGGAGGCTTAAGACCGAATGAGAAATGCTTTGATAATTAGAAAGATCATCTTCGCTTGGCCTCCGCTCTAAGTCTGGAGGAATAGAGGGTTTGCGAAACATTGGAAAGTCTTGGTATATCCAGGATTGTTAGGAGGAACTAATGGCCATGCGTTGGAAACCATCAAATATTCATTATGATGGAGGGGATGAAACATCATCATTTAACGTAGTGGATAAAGATCGACTACATTCATAAATGAAAATTGAACAACAATTGCATGAGTTAGTGGAATTAATAATTAGTTAAATCATGGTTAGGTCGAGAGTCACACGCAGAATGAAAACAAAAATAAAAGTGAAAAGACAAAAATTCTAAATATATTTATTCCTTTTTCAAGAGGTTGTGCAAGGTTAGAAAAAAAAGGGCCTCTAAGGTATACAAGGAGCCATTCACGGCATTGTAGGCCCTAGTTGTTGAAATTGGGCATCCAAGGAAGAAACTTCGTCAATATGCGAGGCACGATGAGATTCCAACTCCACAATTTGATGATTCACAAAGATTTTTTTTTTTTAAGGAAAGTGTTATGTCTTCCAAACACACCAGTGAATTGATCAACATTATCCTTTAAGTTTAGCAGCAAGTCCCGACGGGCATTATGAACAACAAGGCAATCTCGATGCTTCTGATACAGTTACTCAGCCTCTTGAAGGACATTGGAGGTCCAAAAGCGATATGGACTAGAACTTGACAGTATTTTGGGAGAGTAGTGGAGACTCAAAAAATGTCCTAACTACTTAGAGTCGAACTTCAAGGAGTTCTAGCTCATCTAGCAGAATGTTCAAATGGCCCTATACGTTCAAGTTCAGGATTTCTCGAGCCTCCTCGAATTCAAAATCCAAAATCCAATCCAAATTTTGGAAAAACACTAGGATAGAAGATAGTCTTGCTCTCACTAATGCAAGCAAAGAGGAAAAAGTTGGACTCAGGAAAAGAAGTCACATACTAAGCTTGCACAACAGCCTCAAAAAAAGAGAAAGAAAGAGTAATGGATTTTCAACATAAGGAAGAGATAAGAACACAACAAGGGTAATCTAAGGGCCTGCTAGGACGATAGGAAGCATTGGTTGGACTTCTATAGCATCAACAACCACTTCCGTACTTGGTGGCTCTATCTCCATCTCATTTGGAATGGTAAAGGAGGCCAAGGGTGCAACGACCATAATTTGGGCCATTGGAATGGGATCATTGGTTGGCCCTTGGGCCACCAAACCATCAAAGATGCCTTCCGAAGAAGGGTCATCAGATGTAGAGACAAGAGTTGAAGGATTCTCATTGCGAGGACGTACACTAAGAGGAAGAAGTGCTTCTTTGTCTTGATCATCGCCTATGGTCTTCCACAACCAGTTCAATTAGAACAAGACAAAACTTTTCCTTACATCTTGATTCAGGAGACAAATGATAGCTAGTAGATGACTTGAGATCAACTACCCCTAGAGGACTCTTTCTATATGGCTGTCGACATGAAGAAAAGGAAGAATAATTTTGTATAGAGCAAGTCCTTGAGCTTGATGGCCTAGGGGAATGAGGAATGCAACCCAGAATATCTATAGTGGATAGGTCAATGTCAAATTGGCTCGGGACATAGCAATTCCACCACGTCTTAAAA